ATCGATTACTTTTTGGAGTAATTTTGTAATGAGTTGATTACTTTTATTCGGCAGTAATCAGAAGAGTAATCTGATTACTTTTTGAAGTAATAAAATTACTAGTAACCGTTACAATTCGTCCACGGGATCCGCCCCCCCCCCCCCCCCCCCCCGGCACAAGCCTTTTTTTTATGAAATGACAAAAATAAAATTAGCTTTTTTTTTTTCGAACGAAAAAAAAGAAAAAAACATTTGCGGAGCTGTAGGAAACGAGGTCAATCTCTTTCTATGTACAGTTTCTGTGGAATGTCCGTTTTCTTCTTTTTTTTTTTTTCGAGCTGGGACTGGGAGTGGAGAGCCCCAGGAAAGCCACAGTGCGCGACAACGGCCGTTCAGGGTAAAGTTTGAGGAAGCAGAATGTAGCTTTGTGAGTCCGTTCAAACTAGCCCCCTCACGCACACACACACAGAAATAAAAAAAATAAAAAAGTCTTGCTTAGGGTACCTACTCGCAGTAGGAGAGCCAGAACCGAAGAATGCCTAAAGCGGATGCGAAATATAACAAAGGCAGTTGAAATATTTCCCAATTTCCCCTCGTAGTCTTTGTGACAAGCAATGTTTAGAGTTGAGAAGTGGTCGGGGCGATCTCTTCCGCTAATGGATACTTCACATGATCCGTTTCCAATCGTGGAACTGCTGCTCTTTTGTATAACGTGCGAGCTCATCCACATGTGAATAATAAAATGAGCGACGCAAACTTTGAGCGAAAACCCTTGCTCAAGCTTACCAGACTTGTTCGTAACGCGTTACAAGTAATTGATTACTTGTAATCAATTACAGTTAAGTGTAATTTTGTAACGCTTCAATTACATTTGTCAAGCTGTAACGCTTGGAGTAATTCAATTACTTTTTTTCTGTAATCAATTACAACATCAATTACACAATTACCAATTACATTTTTCATCCCACAATTTTTTTTCTCACAAAAACCAGCATAGTCACTCAGCCATGGAGCAAAAATGATTGACATTTTTTTAACATCTAAAAAAGTAAAACTAGGATTTTACGCCACGCTCTTCTACAAGCGCGCCACCAGCCTTGGCTGGGGAGTTCCGGATCTCGTTGCAGATTGCTGATAAAGTCGACGGGAAGCGGGAACTCGCAATTGACTTTTTAGTGGGCTTTGTTCCTTAGGTCGACGCGTCAGCTACACGACAAGGTCCGGGTCTGAAAACAAAAAAGGGAACAATAACCAAACAAAATTGTGTACGCAATATTTTACTGTGTATTTGTGTATTTCTGTCATCGCAATAAAAAGTAACGTGAAAGTAACTTGAAAAGTAATCAATTACTTTGCAGTAATTGTTCAATTACTTCTGGGAGGCAGTAATCAGTAACGGTAATCGGTTACTTTTTTGACTGTAGTAATTGTAATTGTAATCAGTTACTTTTTTTCAGTAACGTGTACAAGTCTGTGATTATCTCAGTTGAGGACTATTGGGGGAAGCTGTTATCCGCGCTTAATCCCGCCAGTCCGCCTTCCGTCGTTTCAATAGCTATTTAGATTTTCTTTGCAAAACTGTCTTGTATAGACTACGGTGAAACGTCACGTGGATGATGTGCTTTGAAATATATACTTATCCCCTATACTACGCGAAGTTACCATAAGAGCAGTCACTCCAAAACGGTGGGTAATCTGACGACGGGAGGCGAGCCGTAAAAGAAGGGGGGCGGGGGGAGGGGGGAGAAAAGAGGGGGGGGGGGGGGCACTGCTCGTACAAGTAGTGCGTATGGAGGACAGTTCCTGTACTGATCTAATTTAGTAGCATTGTCTCTTTGCGACGCTGCGCCCGCTTCCCTTCAGCGCCATCCGGATACAAAGCATTTGCGCTGAATTTTCTGGGTTACCGAGAACGAGAGAACGCGCTTTCCTGCCCTTTCAACACCTCCTCGTTCCGGACGCACCAAATGTTTCTGCTTCTCTTTTTCTTGCCCTTTCCTCCCCTCTACGCTCCCCGCGCTTTCTCGTACCACCTGAATTTGCTCCTCCCGTTTCTGCATGCTGGGCCCTTAGCTCAGTCAGCAGCGCACTCGGCTTCCATGTCGGTGACCGGGTTTCGACCCCTGGTGCCGGTTGTCCTTTGTTTTAAGATTGTTAGGCGGTTATGGACTGACCGACCTACACTTTTCAAGCTTACGCGGCTCCTGGTGTTTCTTGACTATCTAAAGCTCCCGCTCTAATCAATGCACATCTGTGCGCACTTGTAGCACTATTAGTGTGAAAATATGAAATATTCTGTAGCGTGATTTCACTACAGATTATCAGAAACTTGTAGTGCGTGTATAATTAAGGTGAAAACCCACTTTTGGATTCTTTGATTCTGAACCAACCAATGGCAATGGATTGCCTTCCAGACCTGTGAACGAACGCAATAGATCGTGTATGTTCACGCTTTGAAACAGTGTGGTATTCTTCTTTCTCCTGAAATCGAGATATCCCTAACCGTTCACTTGTTCCTCGATGCGCGAGCTTTTTGTGGAACGCAGCCACGCTGCGCTAGTTCACGTGTAAAGGGATCAGTTGTCTACGCTATGAGTTCGCGTATCCAGCAGATGTGGTGAAAACAAAACGCGAAAATTGTCCTGAGCTAATAGCGAGGCGCATGCATAAAATAAAACCGACGCGTCGAAAAATTGAGATCGCTGGTGTGCATTTATCATCCCGGGGATCTCGAGCTCTATTGCAGTTATTTCAACGTGGTGAGATAAGTATGACGTTTATGATGTTTTGACGTGTACGTGGTTCGCGCTTTACAGTTTTCCACAAAATCGTGACGATGTAATATACGTGGGTTTCCAGAATTTTAGCTTGAAGAATTGAATGCCTCTATAAGTAAAAAAAAAGGACAATTTTGTTTCGGTCAGGTGTATCATTTTAGGTAACTGCAATTTTCAATTTTGACCGCGAGTTTTGAAAACACAAGAAATGAGCTTCAGCTGTTGTAAGTTATCAGTTTGACAAACACAAAGTATGACTCTAACAAAATTCCTATGCTTAGAGCATGACAAGAGCAATGCCAATGTTAGAGCGTTATTCACATCATCAAATGACCAAACTTCATTTTAGCACTGAGTGCAGGGACAGCTAAAATGACTGCAACCTATCAATTATTTATATTTTATGGATAACTTTCACAAAGTTTAAGCAATGTAGCAATATTAGTTTGGTAATTTGTGCGGACCAATTACTTGTGTGCAAAATATATGAAAAAATATTCAGGGGGTGGAGTGTGACGTTTGGTCAAATATTGTGTACCTACGCATATCGCGCGTGCTGATGAAGACTGGTAAATAGCTACAATTTACACCCTTGAGCGCATCGAAAGCTGAAGCTTGCAGCTGTGTTGCTCATGCCTTAATGTTCGCATTTTCATAGTATTTTATTACACTCAGATGTAGTGTGAGCTGTTTTCCTGGTTGCTTGAAATAGAGCAATTGAAATCATTTAAACTCTGGTTGCTAAAAAAATCCACGTTCTGACGGTTGGCAATATACTCGGTCAAAGGCTTACGATAAAACGCGCGCAGACAGCGAACGTTCGCCACGTTGCTATAAAGCGTCGCAATCGCTCTTGCAAGACAGCTACGTTCACCCACGCGAGCGGCCACATGTGAACATTCTGTGTTTTTATTGTGGCACACGGGGCCAGTAGCGTAGGATTGTCTCTATTTGAGCTCAATCGCGCTGTAAACTATAAACAAAATCAATATCGGTAAACAAGCGTATGAGGACGCTAAGAGTGGTTGGAATTTCGCACTTGCAGATGGCAAGCCAAGTTTCACCGTAAGTGCAAGACAAGCGGAAACTAAACATGCGAGCATGCTGCCTCCAAACACTCGTTCGTAGCACAAATGCTAGTGTTCGGCAGTTGTCCATATAATGTTGTCGAAACACGTGTCGTGGACAACATTTCATGGACGCACGCTTCATTTAAATATTTGATGGACATATGTTTCGGCCACATTATAATGTTTCGTGGAAAAATGTTTCGTGAACACATGCAACAGCAACTTTTTTTTCGCTAAGTGTATTTTATTGAAAAAACGGCCTCATTTAGTTCGCCGTAAGGATACGGGAAGAAAAACAAATTCACTCAGGCGGATCATATATGCAAAATCAAATTCGCTAGTACTAATTATTTGTCTTCCAAACACTCAATACTACTCGCGAAAAACTTTCACACCACTCCCGGAAACCCATTCATCTCAGGTCCGAGTTTGCAGCAGTCTTTATCGAAACCGCCAAGGGTTCGGCAACAAACACCCATCCGGATACCGGCGACGGAGATAATGTGTGCGGACAAACGCTTTCGACGAAACACAGAAAGTTGTGCTCATAAAACACTCGCGGGAACATTTCAATAAAACGAACACATCAAACTCTCGTTTGATATGAGACCACACTGAATATAAATTTTGTCTCGATTTCTGTGACCCTGCGAAGAATATATCCAAACATACATCATTTATAAAACAAAGCAATCAAAATTTGCTGAGCGTTTTATCAACGTTGGCCTCCTGTACGGGTTCCCATGTAAGCCGGATCTGCACCTATTTTTAACAAGCAGAGCTGCTGCGCAGAGATTTCTACAACAAAGCGTTGCAAGGGCGTCCTATTCCTCTGCGCACAAACTCTTTTTCAAACAAAATAACGGTGTTGATGCTGCGTTCTTTGTCAACAGCTTTGGTGTATACAAACTATACCAAAAACAATATACACGTTTATTGCATAAAATGTATGTTACGACATCTGAAAAAATAAAGGGAACAATGACTCCCTAAAAGTGATGCAAATTTAAGTATAAAAAATTGAGCGTCTTGTGCGTAAGAATTTCCTATTTTCCCAATTGGTAATAATGTCGAATTACGGCCCATTTCAGTGTCATCACACGAACGACATAAAACGAACAAAAGAACAGCTTGGTATCATGGGTGTGCGTCGCTCGGCTAGAAGGCAAGTATTCTAGTAGGTCATAGCAGAAGCATCGCAGCGAGGCTCGGTTCCACACCATAATACACTGCACGAGGGTCGAGCTCTATGTGGTTCTTTGTTTCTCCCATTCCGAGACTCATCTGTAGTTACCACACTAACGTGACCCATATATGATCCTCCCGCGCCGCCGAGGCCGTCCCGGAAACGATGGCCTTTGCTTTTGAGGGACTCGATCAACACAGGGTCCATGCCTTCTTCAGCAGTAAGTGGGTCGCTGAAACAAAAATATACGCAGGTTTCCTTTAAATGGCGTGACAGGAGCAGTCTCTACCTCCAAACAACGTAATCCGCACTAAACCGTTCCTACACTAGTGACACCAGCACCTTTAATCGCACTTAGGTCTAACCTGAGTCATACATAGCTGCGGTTAAGGTGCTCGTTTAACTCGCGTATCAGCGGTCGATAGACTACGCTTAATTTAAACAGAACACAGCAGCTTCAGGCAAATATTGTTTACATTATCCTTTAAAGCGCAGCTCTCAGACACCCTTTCCGGCTTGAGCGGCGTCGGCGTCGGCGTCGGCGTCGGCGTAGGTGCGCACGTTTCATTATGGGACGTTTTCCCGCTAACTTTTGCCGGAATTTTTTCCACTAAACTTAGCGGGGAAAGTTTTTCACTAAATATAGCGGTAAAATTGTTCTGCTAAACTTAGCGTGGAATTTCTTTCGCTAAATTTAGCAAGAAATTTGTTGTGCTAAATGTAGCAGAATAATTTCCCTGGAATTTCCTTGAAATTTAGTGAAAATTTCCCGCTAGAATGGAGAAGGAGCAGAAGAAGAGGAGGGGAGGGTACGGAGGGGGAGTTCCATACCCTCCTTCTCCTCAAGTGCGGCGCTCTAATTCGGCATTACGGAGAATTGTAAACGTCTTTCATTTTTTGTCTTGGAACGAAAATAATGTGCCAAGTGCACAGGTTAAAAACTGTGCATTATACTTCACTTTCTTTTCATTGTGATTGAAATTTGGTAACAAATAGGTATTCATTTTCGCGAGTCATAATTCGTTATATTTTTATGAAAGACGCCGGGAGTGGGGATCCGCTGATCTCGCTCGCCAAGCCCGCGCTCTTCGAATCTGGCGCACCCGCCGACCGGCCCAACTGCTGGCCGAACATCAGTGCTACACCCTCATAATCATCAAAATAAACCAACTTGACATCATCTCAATCATGTTACTCCTCACTCCACCCAACTGTGAGATGATGTCAGCTCGGTGTAATGAGGTGATTTCAAGGATGAAGCACTGGTGATCAGTCAGCAGCCAGTTCAGTCGGCGGGTGCACAAGATTCGAAGAGCGCTGGCTTGACGAGCGCGATGAGCCGAGCCCCACGTCGTCTTCTTTACAAACAATATAATCTATTTATCACAGCTCGGGCATTGCAACTCGTTCAGAAATACGAGGTATTTTTTTTCAATTTCAATTTCAATTTCAATTTCAATCACAATGAAAAGAAAGTGAAGTATAATGCACAGTTTTTAACCTGTGCACTTGGCACATTATTTTCGTTCCAAGACAAAAAAATGAAAGACGTTTACAATTCTCCGTAATGCCGAAAGAGAAGCTTTTAAAAATTCAAACTTGAAATAAACGAATAATTATTCGGGGGTCGCGTGGCCGAGAAGGTCAGACATCAAGGTACGAAAAAGAATGATAATTAGCAATGTAATGGTGGAATATTCACGCATAAGCTTTTTTTAAAGATATTCGCTCGGTAAGGCGCGTTTAAAATTAAAAATATCTAAGCTCAAACTCCTGCTCTGTTGTAGCCGCTGTTGAAAGAGAGGACAGTAAATTTGTTTCTCATTTGGCGAAGTTAGTTTGACTATATTCCACTAATCGTTATACTAAAGGAAAAAGGCACCGAACGCTGATCGCCCGAGAAATAACCACAGTGTAGAGCGTCTTGACAATGATCACATAACCTTTAGATAATGCAACGCTGTCAGATCGCCTTACAACAACTCTATGACCACGCCCACTGCGCAGACGCGCGTCATTTCCGGGCGAGACTCCCGTCGCCCTTTCTTGTATTACTACAGCTACTAGTACTAATAATATCTTTGCTAGGTAAATTTTTGCTATAGATTGTATGGGCCCGTCAAAGCCACAGGGTTTTCCGAGTTGAAGCCCAGCAGTCGGTGTCTTGCTATTATGTTTTACCTCTTTTTATTTATTACTTATGCCTCATCATGCGGCAAAACGCAAAATAACATTGCGAACCACAGACGAAAAATGCACATGTTAAAGCCACTTAGGAATCCTTAATGATAATAATCTCTGGAGAAGAAGAACAAGGGTGACAGAAGACAAACATACATTTTGCAAACACAGCCAGGTCACTGCTTCGCGAACAAAAAGAGATCCGCCTAGTCCTGGTATCGAACCAGGGACCCCTCCATTTCCAGCGGAGCGCTCTACCCACTCAGTTAATCGGGAGTTAGACGCGAGTAGAGCAAACGTGTTTTAACAGCGACCACCAGACTACGTAACACCAACAAGAGTGAACGGCCTGCATTTTAAGGTTATGATGATAATGCAATCAATGCAAAGCTGCAAGCGAACTGGTTCGATGCCAGGAACAGTCGGATTCTTTTCAGACGCTTACCAATCACCTAGCTGAGTTTGGAGATGCATGTGACTTCGCCAACACCAGCATCTTGGCCGTTGAGACCAATCCCAGACAGACGTTTTATTGAATCCTGGCACTTACAAACGACGCTAGAAAACATAAATAGATCCCCTCTGCACTCTGCCGACCGTCTACGTGAACGGACATCGCCACCTCACCGATGCAAAACGATATACAAATCTGTAGAAGAAGAAATCGGAATACTGCTACTCAACGGCCATAGCAGCAGTCAACCCCTGAAGAAGAGACCGAGCAGGTCTCGAAACGCAGGGTTCCGCCTTTAAACGAGGATTTGATTGGTGTATATTTTATTTATTATTAAGACAAAATACACATCGCGCTTTCCAATTTCGCGTGCCTTTTCCTTATCTGTATCCTTTTCACTTTTTACCTTGCCCCAACTTCGTTCCCCTCGCAACTTAGGAGAGGGGAGTTCTAAGAGGATGATCTTCCATGCACAAAACGTAGGTGGTACGCCGGCCTTTAAGTTGACCGTACTTAATTAATTTTCTGTTGTCGCTCTATATACGTACTCTTACGTCCGCTGACATGTAGTAGGTTATACCGAAGGATTCGTTTGTGTATTTTCAAATTTATATTTATAAAAAGGAATCGCTCATTTGTGAAGCACCTTGTTTAAGGACAGACATAAGGTGACACTATATATCGCCACCCGAGAGGGCCAATAATTATATATATAGGTGTATCACGCGCTATACTACGCCAACATGAGGGTATATTGCCAAACCACGACCATAAACGGGCCGTTGTAGAATCTTACATGAAGAGACCAGGCCATGTTATTAAATAATGCCGTATTTGGCCCTTCTAAGGACGACCTCATTTTTCAGCTTTCGGCGCTGCCGCGACGGTTATTCGTATGTTCGCGTCCCGTGGGATTTGGTTTACCAGCCAATAGCTCGTGGGCAGCTTCTTTTCGTTCTTGTTAACTTTCCGCCAAGGACATTGCCAAAAGCTGGTGACAATTATAGTTACATTGATTCCACGCAATAGTATGGTTGAAGTTGTTATTCTGAAGCTTGCTGGTTTAGAGTCTAAATCGCTATGTTCGAAAGAACTTTTATTTTTCTGTACTTTTTGAGGGTGGGTGCTTACTTACATTCTTCAAAGATTTTTTTTCGAATTAAAAAAAAATCACTCAACAAAAAAAGTATTTACTAAAGTACGCCAGCCACTTCACTTCAAACGTTCAATGAGTATAACACAGGCAACTTACTTTTATTTTATTATAATTTTTTTTCCAACCGCCCCTTACCTAGTCGAATTAATGCGTAATACCTTACTCTTAAGGAATGTAGAAAGCAGTGCAGCGATATATTTTGAGAATAAACTTTTTGTTTGAAAATATAGATTTCTTCGAAAATCTCATTCTTACATCTTGCCAAAAAAGTATTTTTCACAGAGCGAACAGTAAAAACAATAATTATCTGTATGCTTAAGTGAATACCGAGGCAGGAAACGTGTAGAATAAGAGACGTCTAAGAACAACTGGACACGGATAATTTTTTTTTTCATTCTGGATTAGCGATTTGTCCGTACATAAAATATAATCGCCATATATCTAGATGAACTAAATTTAAATGAATAACAAAAACATAAAATCAAATATATACCAAATATAACCCTGCGATACCCCTGAAACTAATTACTCACTTTTTTTTTTCAAACTGCCATACACAGGGAGGGTCTACGTAATACGATAATTAAGAAAACATCTGATAATTTAACATTTCACTTTTATTTTTAGACTTCATACATCTAGAAAACATTCAAAAACAGAAGAAAATAAAAGTAGAGAGCGGTAAAAATTGATATATATTTAGGTCATGCACTTACTCGGGGTGCGTGGCAAGTTTCAAAGATCCAATTTTTATTCGTAGCTTGGAAACAGCTTCTTGAGGGTCAAGGCCAAGGTCGACAATGCCCAGGATTACCTTCGAAGAAAACGAAAAATGACAAATATTAAGACTTGTGCTCCCCTGCCAATTGAGAAGTTCCATGCACGTGTTTTACTGATTTAATTTATATGTCATATCAAAATATTTAATTTAGTGTGCACATCGTTAAACGATTTTTAAACTGAATAAAATATATTAGTACTAGCATGCAACCCTTCACATTACCTGCAGCAGAGCTTGCGGTGACATGCTTCCCCCTTGTGATCCCATAACGGCCAGCAGTCTTCCCGAACTGGAATCCGTGACGACAACAGGCATCAGAGTGTGGTACGGCTTCTTGCGTGGACCTACGCAGTTGGGGTGCCCCGGCAAGGTGTTGAATGCCGCACCTCGTGCCTGGAATAAACCTCTATGTAACTTGTAGAGAAACACAGTCAAACTGAGAGAAATATTAACAGGTAACAAATCTGCTTCTTTGGGTCAGAAGGTTACATCCTATTATTGGTTAGAAGGAGACTGGAACCCTTCCGTTGTCTAATTCAAGACATCAGCCTATATCCAGCGATCTTCGCTGGAACCAAATGCCAAATTTAAACGCCCTCATCGCATGGAAAGTAGGCTTCTCCTCCTGACATGGTCATAATGTCCGCTGACGACCGCCGTCGTGTATAAGGGCTATTTTCTTTTAGGTATTGATTAGCTTGCAGCTACGCATGGTTAATTTCAGTGCAGTTGCTGACCATGTCATCGTAGAGACAACCAAACCGAATTATTCAACCCCCAGGTCGAGTCGTGAGCCAGTATATGTAGGTATCTGTTACGTGGTTAAACTTTCTCACTTTCTTAGATCAGTTTCTTTCATCTTGGTTGTTAATATTACAGAGTTGTTTCTTAATAAAATGCGTGCTGTTTCTCTTAAGCTGAATGTAAGCCTTTTCTTATTTTTAATGTAGCTTGACAGTACGAAAGGACGCGTTCTTATCAGCATTATAAATCGTGGCGGATGTGAGGGCACGAGAGTGAGTGACAATTCGCAGATGTATTACGTAACATTTATAAAACACCTACGCACTATTTTATTACAACACGCCGTAGTACATCCTGTGGATGAGAGATATGTTGCAATCTAGATCTTTAAGCGCTTTATTGTGAACCAATTCTGGTTGTTCAGTGGATCATGTAAATTCTCAAATCATTTAATTTCGTTAGTTATTTGTTCAACGACACACATTACCTTATTGGAACACAGAATACAGAAAGGGTCCCCTGAGCAGGAATAAAAAATTCGAAAACTGTATGGTGTGTTAGTGAAAAAGAAAACTTTTTAAAACCTCTCCCCGGTTCAAAAGAAACATACGCGCCCAAAACTCGGATCACTAAAGTAAGGGTGGTTTAATGTAAAACACTTCCATTGGGGCTCTGTGTTGTTCAGTTCAGTTTATGATTCCTTAAGGGCACTTCTAATGATTTAAAATTCACAGCGAAGGATACAGTAAACATGATTAGCAGTAAGAGTTGCCAAATAGCAGTTTTGTTAATTATGAACAAGTACACATCACGCACAAATAAGGAAACCCATGTAAACATTGAATAAACTGTAAACGGATGCCCTTGAACATTGTGACTAGGAAAAGTAATCATTGATGTGGGCTTTCTAAACTATTCTTGTTCAGCGGGTTTCGTTTTACGGATTTGTCATATAATCTGCTACCTCAATGTCACTTGTCCATTTGAACTATACGTAACCCTCACTTGGTACATGCGAGAAGCGTTTGATTGTTTAATAATATAGCACGTTATAATTACACCAGTGCAATACAGAAGAATGATTGATATTCAAATGTCTCGTGCTGAATGTGTTGCCACCGACTTACGTGTACTGGAAACCCGTACTCTCTGACAACAGTGCAACCAAACGGTACGCTCGTGCTCCCTATGAGGCAGCAGGCGTTTCCTTGCGTGTCGGCCGCTGTCGCTGCAACGGTGCCTGTCTGATACAAGGAAGGAAGTCCCTCCGGAGCAGATGACGTCATTGCCCTGCCAAAAGAACAACTAGAGGTAAGTTCAGTATCCTATGTCGGATAATTTGAATGCAACTAACACGCTACAATGGTGGTCTACAAAGAGTACAGCAATCAAGACTACAATGCTTTCCTATTTAGAGACAGCCCCAGACTTGTTTTTTTTTTTACATTTCTTATGTTTATTTATAATGGACGGTTTGGTACGGTTACAACTAATAATTGAATATGGCTACCTGATAACTTTTCTGCGCAAATTAGATGTCCGACATTCAGTATTGCGCACAGTCGGCAATGTCCATGGGCAAGAAATAACGCTTGCAACAATAGTCTACATCACGAAGAGGGCAAACGAGAAACATTGTAAAAAAGTGAAATAAAATATAAATTAGATGTGTGTCTGCACGTGTAGTTTGTTAAACAAAAAATTGAATAAATAAGACCTAATAAGCCGTTTACAATTCCCTGTAATTCCGGATTAGAGCGCAGCTTCTTAGGAGGAGGATGGAAGGGTACCGAATGATAGGTGACTCCTTGAGTTCACGTGACCTCAGGGGGGGGGGGGGGGGGGGGCGTGTCACGTAAACTCAAAGCGGGGTCACGTGACCTCAGGGGTCACGTGACCTCAGGGGCGGGTCACGGAACCTCAGGGTTATGCCGACGGCGACGGTGACGCCGACACCGACGCCGCTCAAACCGGAAACGGCCGCCTAAGACCTGCGCTCTAAAAACTTCAAATAGACCCTTTTCAAAATTCAGTGCCATCTGGTGGTTCATAAGGAAGTCTAGGTTTTGCCATATCAATGGCGGAAATGAACTTGTATTGGCACCGTCACTTTCGGAAGTCAATGGCACGCGATGAATTGTTTAGTGTGAGTTCTTTCTCGATCACTTTCAGTTCGATGGTGACCAAGAACCTGCATTCAGAACAAAGCTCCAACCCTCTCAGATGCCTCGAGAAAATTCTATGCACCAAAGTGCTTTAAAGCCGATTGTGTACCGCCCCAGATTGACTGAATCTGAGTTATCATAAATAAACGCTTACGTAGCTCTTGTGTTCCATTCCCACGTCGCGTCGTACTGACCCCCACCCCCCAATGTACAGGCCTCGCAAGATCCCCTTAGGAGCATCTTCAACGTCTTCATTTATCAGTCACTAAAAGGCCGCCACTGGTGTGGCACAAATACCGTTCCACAGATGATGATAGTGATCAAAGTGGTCAGACTGAATTTCGGAAAGGGTCTATCCTATTGCAGCAGCGTTTTTCCAGGATAATGTCATGATATTTCTGACAAGCCTATCAACAGGCCCCTTTTTGCTTCGTTTGTTTTTAATCCGTAAACGGTTTGTCATACCTTCAACATAACTTTTTTTCAAAGCGATCGTTTGACAACTCAATAATTTTTAACGTTCATAAAAGGCCGATGGGAGAAAAAACGCGCTTGTAGCACTGGTATCGCCGTTCATTCAGCCCTTCCCCAAATACAGCGCTAGCTATCCTGACCAGGTGTTAACGTTTCAGGACTAAAGGCTTGGTTATACTCCGACGTTTAGAGCCGCGAACGTAGCGTCGCGCAGCACCTGGGTCTCTGATTGGCTAGCGAGCAGTAACTCAACATCTGCGACCAATCAATATCGGTGTCCGCTGCTCTACGCCGCGTTTACTAGGTTCGACGTCGGAGTAGAGTCCTTTGCAAAAGTCGCCTTCTGCACGCTGTCATATTTGTTTGCTGGGCTGTGGAACACCTGAGCGTGCGCTGTTTCTCTGGTGTGCGGTATATCAGACCCTGTGCATGCGCCCGCAGCTCAGTGACTCAGGCTTTTTCACCCTGGTGATGAGCGATGCAACTGCCTATAAGAGATCCTTAACTCTTATTTTATTAAAATGAACATACACCGGGTTGTTTTACGAAAGGTGGACAAATTCGATATTTCAATAACTACGTGTTGCAACCAAAAAGGATTGTGTCGTTTTGGTCCTAGGCCAATTTAGGAAAATTATTGAAGTTTGGGATAATTAAGTTGTTAATTATTTTGGCGCAATTAACTTTTTTAGTATTGCGTTTAAGGGCATTGTTTCAATTAGAACATTGCTGAGCATCATCGAAAAACACGAAATCAATAAATTGCAAAGCGCTAGAAGGCACGCACGGCATTTGACGACTTTCTGAAAAACCGCTGAACTTCCACAGGTTTTTGAGTTTCGGTTTGCAATCGGAGCGCTTCTCGGCACCGACGACACCGCGCACCGTGGAGAAATCGTGCAACCAACCTCTACGGGGCGCGGTGCGTCGGGGCCGAGCAGCGCTCCGATTGGAAACCGAAACTTAAAAACCCGTCGAAGTTCTGTGGGCGCGCGTGCCTTCTATCATTCTACAATTTAATCATTTAGTGTTTTTCGGTGATGCTCAGCAAGTTTCTAATAGACCTATTGCTATATTACCCAAGCATCAAGGAGAATGCAGGGATTGGTGTTCCACGCACCGCACGTGCTGGCGTCAGCAGTAGTAACTTTTCTAAAGCAAATGCCTAAAATAAATGGCATCTTGCACGCGCGTACGTCAACGCTTTATTTCGGTTATTTACTTCGAATCTGTTATACAAGGAAGGCGTGCGCGTGTGGCGCGTGGAACACCAATCGCTGCATTCTCCTTGATGCTTGGGTAATATAGCAATAGGCCTATTGAAATCAAGCCATTAAACTCACTAATAAAAAGTTGATTACGCGAAAATAATTAACAATCTAATTATCCCGGACGTTAATAATTTTCCTAAATAGGTGCCTAGCCAAGGATCAAAACAACATAATGTTTTTTTTTTTTTTTTTTTTTTTTTTGTTGCGACGCGTAGTTTTTGGAATATCGAATTTGCCCACCTTTCGTGGAACACCCTGTATATGTATATTTTGCAAATGCCTACCATTCGATGAAGACAGTCCAGCAGCGCCCAAAGTGCATAGTCAAGGCCCAAGTTGCTTATATGGGTTCGCTCTCCCTTTCCTAAACCAATCACGAACAGAAACAAAAGCGCAGGATCGTGGTGCATCCACTGCACGTGATCGGTATAATCAGTGATATCAAACACACAAAGGCGACAAGGGCTGTGAGCGCTGTTTGATTGGCTCCATCAGATACTAGCCTTGGCTGCGCTCGAACTTATGAGGGTGCCTTTCTGGTAGCCTTCGGTGTTCATCTGCATGTACGCACGGGCTTCATTGGCCACATTTTCTTTACAGCCAGTTTCCGAAGCTTACTTGTAACTTGTGACCTAGATAGCGGTAGACCCTGAAACATTCACATCCTGTTTCAACTGCTCTCGCTGCGTTTGGGTGAAGAGTAAAGATACGGCGATGCGTAGTTTGTTTTTTGCGATGAGATAAATGCGGCATTCGTTCCTCCCAAACAGGCTGCAGTGTACATGTGCGGGAAGCATCCGCTAGCTTATATATATATATATATATATATATATATATATATATATATATATATATATATATATATATATATTCGGTTTTTCCTTTTGCAAGGTTCAATGCACCGACACCATAATGACAACAAGTATCTGAAAATTCAGGCCATATTAAATATCTAAAATTATTCGACAAAAATATTCATTTTAGTCAGTAGTCATTTGTTTTCGTTTTGAATCGATTGAAACAACATCACGACATAATCAGTGGTTAAAAAAAAACAATACCCTATCATATAGCAAACAAATTATCTAGAAAAGAATTAAGATGTCGATGAGATGAACATGAGATGTGAATTTGGTGGGTATATTTTGTGATCCTTAGTGCTGGACAGCATCTCCAAATAAAGTAATAAATAAGTGAAAGTGTGCCGGTTGGTTTCTGGCCTCCAAATTATACTTGCGGTGATGACCTGAACCATTAGCGTGATATGAAGTACGAACTGTACTTTCAGTGTAAGAGCTCTATTCAAGCGAGAAACAGCAATGAATATTAGAAACCGGACAACGAAACATATCGGCAAAAATTGCGTTTATTTGAAGAAATTTTAGTCTATAACCCCTAGACTTTTTGTCTTTATTTTAATCAAACTCCCACTAACCCTCTACATACTCTGCACTGGAGGTGCATGTGTTTGATAAACTTCCCCTTGTAACCAATTCAGGGAGTAAATAAAACAAAGTTTTCGAATTTTCTTCAGCGGGTACATTAGAGAAGATTATTCACCTTTGGAGGTCGATGAAAGCTCGCCTTTGTCGGGCATGCTCCTTGCTGACCATAATGTCTGTTGACCCATATTCCGGGTCCGCAACGTATGACAGTCCGTCGACAAAGGCCAATCTTAGTGCTTCAATCATCAGATGATAAATCTCAACTGGCTTCAACGTGTAACCTGCGTCAAGGCACCTCAGCAAATTTATCAACGGGAACCACACAAACTCGTCGATTATAACTTTGATTCTACCGAATATGGTGCGTCTATATTCACTCAAATCATTTGTAAGAGCCACTCGATGCAATACACAGAAAAAGCATGGCGAAGTGAGTGGCTTAAATTGTTTATACCTAAAGCAAAACCTCCGCTGCAGCACCGAGCATGACGTAAGAACCTGAAACGTTACTGCCAAACCCAATACTATCGCAGCATATCTTGTTTCTTAGGTCTGAATATATTTTCAGCCTTGCTATTTGTTGGCTATCAGTAGATTTTGGTGACTCGGTGCCTGGCGGGAATACACACAATGTAATGTTTAGAGTGAAGTTTAGAGTGGAATAAAATATTCATGTTCAAGGTGTTTTTCTTGCCAATAAATTCAGCGATTCCTTCAAATCGTTCCATTTTCGTTAATCACACCCGAAAAAAGAATACTATTTCTCTTGAGTATTCTTACACCTAATTTTAAATTATAAGGTAAAATAAATTGGACTCGTTTAATCCTCTCACCCCTTTCCTCCAAAACAAAGTAGCAAACCGGGAGAAAATACGCCATGTTAGCTTATTTTGTCTCCCTTTCTGACCTTTCTTCCTTTCCTTCCTCAGCACTTCGTATAGTGTTTCTGTTGGGTGGGGGACAAAGCTTTTTTTTTTATTGTCTCTGGAACTCTTTTTGCATTTGGAAGTAGCGGCACCTCTGTCCACAAGTGCATGCGCCGGTGTACTGTCAATATTAACGGGCACTCGGTTACGGGTGGTGCCAAAAGTGATGTGAAGAGAATCTGGAGGTGATCCTTGGCATTCAGCCTCACCTCCTGAGGCTGCACAGTTCAGTTTTCCGAACGCCTTGAAATGACAGACGTCGACGAAAGCCGACGGGTAAAATGCGACAGAAATTGGCAGCGGGGTTGGAGACCGCGAGCGATGATTATGCGACAGGACATAGAATTTGTCGTCTTGAAGATTGCGGTGATTTGAAAAGGAAGGTTACTGACCATTGTAGGGCCGATGGTCAGAAGCTGTAAACGGATGTTGTGCGCTTTAGGTATTGCGGCAGTAGCGAGCGACACGGCCTGCCCTGCTGCAGTTGAAGCCGATAAGTCTGTTGTCAGGGGTGCGCCGCTCAGCAGGGTCTTGACGGCGGCGTGGAATAAACCCCGGTATATCAGCTGGTAAACCGAAGCTGTAGCAGTCGGCCGCATGGGAATGTGCCTCAGACGGATGAGTCACTACCCTCTCCACCCACATCAACTAGAATTCCGCCACGGGATGAGCACGCAAGACATTCTCCTTATGTTGCGCCACCAGGTCCTTGACGCCTACTCGAAAGTGCAGACGAGAACGGTGGTGGCGGTGGACGTTCGCAAGGCCTTCGACACCGTCCCTCACGAGGCAGTCATCCAGAGCGCAGAGCTTGCCGGAGTGTGCGGCCACCTTCTCAATTTCGTTAAGAGTTTCCTGAACGACAGAACGTACAAGATCAAAGCCGGGGACTACATTGGACCCGCTCAACCGAACAGGACCGGGGTACCGCAGGGCGCGGTCCTCTCGCCCACCCTCTTCAACCTGGTCATGGCAAGACTTCCCCCACTCCTTGAAGCGGTTCCGTCGCTGCACTTCGCCGTATACGCCGATGATGTCACCATCTGGGCAACGACGGGATCGGCGGGCGAACAGGAGCACACGCTTCAGCTTGGCCTCGACGTCATACAGGGCTTTCTTCGGAATGTGGGCATGACCGCCTCGGCCGAGAAGACCGAACACGTCGTGGTTTTGAACGGGCCCCACAGAAAGACCGAGGCGGTCCGCAACCAAATCGCCCTCAGCATGGCCGGCCAAAGGATACAGCGAAAACCCTCCCTTCGGATCCTGGGAGCCTACATAGATCAAGATGGCAAAGGCACCACGTGGGTGAGGAAAGTCGCCTTGCAGTGCAGACCCCTCCTCCGCCTCATCCGTAGAATCACACACCTCCAGTGGCTCACGCGGGAGAGAGAAACGCGCCAGCTCCTCACGGCGCTGCTTGAATCCCGTATCCTCTACGGCTATAACTATCACGTCCTCACGCCCAGGCAGGCGGAGCAACTCGAGAAACTCAATCGCGAAGCCATCCGCATTGTTACCGGACTGCCTAAGTATACGCCCCTCCGGGAGCTGTACGCGCACGGCGGCATGAACCTCCTGTCGGAACTCGCCGAACAGGCGCTCCTCGCCCAGAGAGACGGCCTCAGCAGCTCGACAGCTGGGCTTTCCATATTGGAAGAGCTCCGCGTGCCTCCCAGTCTGGACGTCCGCCCGGCAGACGCGCACTCGCCCCCTCCGTGGGCCGCCCCGGTCACGCTTACCGACGGAAAACCCCTCCCACGAAACATGGGACCTCGAACGAGCAACTTGGAGCGACGCAAACGCTTTGCCAAAGCGCACACACGTAGCGTCGCGCACAAATCACCGCCTACGCACACCATCATCTACACTGACATGGCGGAGACCTTGCTGTCGACTGCCGGCGACGACGGGGAAGGAGAGGACAACCCCCAAGCACTTCCAGGCGGTCGCGTGGGTCGACACCACCCATGGCATTCCGAACGCGGCTGCGCTTTCGACCACTGAAGACGTCGACACTACGCAAGCGGAACTCATGGCACTTCTCCGAGCATCCCAGTGGGTTCTTCAAACTTTTGCACCAACAGACATCCCACACAGTCTCCTACTGTTCACCGACTCGACTCGCGCGTACGAGACTTGCAGACGAGCGAGCGGGAGCCCCTCAATGTACACGGGAATAGTCGGCGAGTTGCTCGCCGCGTTCCTAGAACTTCGAAAGAAGCTCAACATCCAAGCTATTATTTCCTGGGTGCCTGCGCATGCGGGCATTGACGGCAACGAGTGGGCCCACTTCGAGGCGCGAGCAGCCGTTCGCCAGATGGCATCCGCGCCGAACGCATTCCACAACTCAGCCGGCGAGGCGGCCGGCCCGGCCAACCCGTCTGTCGTCAAGGAAAGTGCTAAACAGCGAAGGCGGAGAATCCTATGGCACTTTCGTGAGGAGCGGGAGGAACGCCCGGACGAGCAGTTGCGTCCCGTTCCTCCGATGCCGAATGACCTACCGAGGAGCACTCAGACCCTCGTCCGGCGCTTCGCGACCAACACTGTCCTATCCCCGGCGCTGCGCCATAAGTTCTTCGGCGACGATCCTGACGAGGGGGCGTGTCGCCGGTGCCGGAGTGCCGCGACGGCTGCCCATGTTGTCTGGGAGTGCGAGCGCCACGCTAGCCTTCGGAAAACAAAACTGGAGGAACTCCCAGACGAGATCCGTCCGGCGACGTATGTCGATTGGATTCTACCCACCAGTCGTGACAAGACGATCGTCTCCCTGCTGTGGACAAAGCTGGCGGAGTTCGTCTACGACGACGACGGCCCCGGTGGACGACTTTGCAGCAGCCGAAGGCGCTGGAACCAACACCCACCCACACCGGCATGACGGCAACGGCAGATCCTTAGGCCCGCGCCGATGCAGACGACAATGGTGCATTACATGGGTGTATGGTATATGTGTGTGTATATATGTATATATATTTATATATACATATATTATATATAACAGGGCAATAAAGAACGTTCTAACAACAACAACAACCGTGGGCTCTGGGCAGAGGCACAAAGCCTGTCCAACTCTTTCCTGACGACGCTTTGCACGGCAGTGATACACACAGCGGTCGTCGCCAAGTCGGAAGAAGTGGCAGCAGTGTTCGACGGTATCATAACTCCAAGTTCGCGGCGAAGAATTTTTTTCTATATTATAGTTGACATCTTGTCAGTATCCTCACGTTATGAATTCGAAAGGGTGTTAGGCAATCTCTCAAACGTGTGCGATTCCACAATGTGTTGCCGCCTCAAACCGACGACATTCCTTGAGCGCATTCTGAACAGTCCTAAAGTCCTTGATGATCAGAAGCTGAAAAGCACCATCCGCTATTCCCTTGAGTATATTTTCAATCTGGTCAAGCTGGTGCATTTCAGGATTATCTTAGGGCAGAGGGGGAGGACGTTTTAGATGTAGGTGACAGGATTCCGTGGATCTGAGCACTCTTGATGCCATTTTTTGCTTTTCAGAGAGCTGGCATCCAGTTGGAAGACCCAAAGGGGTCTTCCAATTTTGACTTGAAGACATTCCAAAATTTAAGCTCTTCTTTGTGGGCCTGGAATCATGTGAGAGCTGTATCTTTCAATTAGAATTGTACGTTTGCTAGCATGATTATGTTGTCGTAACGCTAGAGGCCCTCTCTCTCGTAGAGATCTTTCAATTTTTCTACTTCTTACTCGCCGGTGCAGGTGAAAATCCCAGGGTCGCTAGACTTGGCGAGGACCAAAAGTTGCCTCTGTACTGGGGGTGGGCTTGACCCAGAAGATACGCCTTCATGTGGGGTGCCGGACGCATTGGTCATGAAGGGCGCAGACAAAAGACGTTGCTTTCTCAGATCCAGGCCGGCAATCACTGTACGCCGCACCTCCAACAAAGAATGTTGCGCTGAAAGTGGGGCTTATTTACAGGTGATTGAGATGCTAGAAAGTCGAGATGACATTTTCCGTTGCAAGCAAAGAACCTACTAATCCTCTTCTTCTTCTCTCAATCATTGGGTTTTCTCTGCCAGACCACTTATTCTTTATCCTCGTAATAATATATTCATTCGAGGTTTCAATATCCTGATTACTAAAATAAACTATTTTAGCAGCTTGAACACCTATACATTCATATGGGAAAGGCTGAGATGGACTCGTGTGTACAGTATTCATTTCATTTTTTTTCTCGTATATCTTCAAATCAGTCTAATAAATGCCACAATGTGCCAAACATCTGTATATCAGGTAATTATAACACTGTTGTTGACTTATGACGCAGGTTGCCATAACAATTAATCATTACAAGAATTTATTTAGGGCGCAAACCGATCTTGCGAATGATTTCATGGATTGATAGACTTGTCTTTTAGAAACTATTTAGTTGAGTGCGATAATGACAAGAGCAAAACTCAACGACAGGCATGGTAACAAAAACAAAGCCTATAAAAGGCCTAAAGCAGATTTTACAAAAGATCAGTTATTTTTTTCATTTATTTCCGTGTCCAAGGACAGTAGAAGACAGGTACCTCGCCTACAGATGTTTCCTGCCTTGAACCCAATTCCGAAAACAGATGTCAATTTCATTCCGTGTCCAACACTAAATGAATACGTACTTGAGATGTCGTAACCTTCCAGAATGTTAAGCGCTTCGAGTAGTATGGCTCCTTGGCTCGGTAGGGGCGTCGTGTGAACTGTAGTTTTACGGTACGAAGTTGACACGGGAGGTAACATTCCCGGCTCCACAGAATTCATGTGAGATTGAAGGTCAGCCAGTGACATTATGCCACCGGCACTCGTCACGGCGTTTACAATGCCAGAAGCCACGGGGCCCTCATAAAATGCACCGATTCCTTCTGCTGCGATTTTCTGAAATGAAGAAGCATCCGTTACATATGGGGAACATTTTTCTAATGTAGATTAACAGTTCACGTAACAAAATATCTTGTTTTAGTTATCAAAAAATGTATTCGCGAAATTTTAACTTTCCAACTGTGCTTATGTATATGCCAAGCTAAAAGAGAGTTGTAATTGTGACGACTCAACAATAAAATATATATACAGGGTGTTCTTTTTTTTTTAAGCTTAACAGAATTTTTAAAAAGAAACCAAGCAAGCTAGATTAATGCGGTCTGTGAAGGTGAGTTAAACGGCCAGGGGGACATAATAGAGGAGGATAATCGTAACGATCAGTCGGCTAATTAGTTAAAATTCCTTAATTAACTTTTTAATTAATGAAAATAGCCATATAGTTTCAATTAGAAACGTGCTTGGCGTCATCGAAAACCCCTAAATCAGTCACTTTAATAAAGACTTTGAGCGCGTGAGAAGCGTAGTAGTGCACTAAAGTTAGCACTCGTGGAGCACGTACAAAGCTAGCGGTTGCGATAAGGCGCCCGCGCGATTTTTCCGTCTCTTATCTAGCCCCAGCCTTCTACCTGCTTCACGAGTGGTAACTTTAGTACAATACTATGGCTCGCACGCGCCGAAAGTCTTTTTGAAAATGACTTATTTAGTGGTTTTTGATGACGCTGAGCAAGTTTCTAATTGAACCTACATGTCTATTTTCATTAATTAAAAAGTTAATTAACGAATTTTAACTAATTTGCCGACTGATCGTTACGATTATCCTCCTCTATGATGTCCCCCTGGCCGTATAACTCGCCTGCACAGACCGCATTAATCTAGCTTTCATGGTTTCTTTTTAAAAATTCTGTTAAGCTTAAAAGAAAACACTATATATATATATATTGCTTTCATTTCGCTGCAGTTTTAGACTTATACAACCACATGAAATTCAGTCAAAGGTACTGAAGTTTCTGGCCTTAACATCAAGGTTCATATAGCAAAATTATCATTTCATAAAAGCCCGCCAAATTTTGAAGGCCTAAGTACAGTAGAGACAGAAATATCAAAACAATCATGAACCAAATAAACACATACATTCATAAAAGAACAAGTACCTTATTCCTCGATATAGAAAATGTCACCAATTGCACGGGCAAATGGAGCGTCAGGAGCTGCGATTGTAACATTCTAACAGCGCAGTAGTTACATCCAAATATCGGGAACAAACTAAACGGTACGGCGCAATCGGTACTTCCGGAAGATTTCAGCTCGAGTCCCCCCATTCTTAAGCGCTACACTCAGAATCCTGTTATCCATAGATAATAAGCAATTTAAGAAAGGAACATTGAAGTTAACAACGTGAAGGGAAGGCCGTATACTCGAATAAAGTTCCCGAAAAGAAATTGTTAGTTAGGAGTGACCTATCCATTAAATGGACAAATTATTTCCATATACGGAAATTAATCACGTTTCCACAAAACTTTTTTTTTAGTGATCAGGCAGTCCTTGACTTGGTAACTCGTAGTACACGACTTGCAGTTATCAGAGCTCACCCTAAGTAACCCCGCCAGTGGAACATTATTCCACACAGCTCCGTGAGCGGGAACTAATCCGTCTCTATCGAGAAATGTAGTTCCTCCGTGCATGTTCTGCAGCTTGGATTGACGAAGCGCCCATTCATTAGCGCTCCATTTACCAACCGGAAAACCCTTCTCGCCGTAGAGAATTGCAGCTTCAAACAAGTTGGCCATATCGAGCTGAAAAAGAAAACAGATATTAAAAAAAACACACACACACACAGACATCAAACTTTGGATGAATATCGTGACGTAAACTTCACGACAACGATAATTATTAAAAAAAAACGTTTCTAATTTTTAGCATTAACAAAAACTTTGTATATTCAACGCCATAGGGTTATAACTAAATATCTCATACTTTCGTAAAATCGAACTCATGTATATTGGTTCGATGTAGGTAGAATAATAATAGAAACGACACTCATCGCCCATCTTTCAAGCCTAGGAACGTTCGATGGAGAATGTAGTCACATATAACTCATCTCTACAGAAGCATGGATAATACATGTGTATGGTATACACGCTTTTAGTTTGAAATATATATTTTATGTAATTTTTAGAGACGCGCGTTGCTGTAGCGCCCCCAACACGTCCGGTCATCGCTTTTGTGAAACGATATAATCGTAGACGATTTCGACAGACTAGAAAACAAATTGTGCCTATTGTAGATAAATAGGGAACTACAGTTGCTCTATGTCTCTTTATAACATTACATTCAGCTGTCCTTAATTTCTTTGTTGCATTTCAAAATATTCCGAAGATTAGCACGAAGATTGCAGCAAACGTTAGCATTACAGTATTACCGGCATCATGGTATAGTATTTGTTTTGACTGAGACTAATTAGTTCAGAAAATAAACACCTCTTTGGAAAAAAAACATATAATAGGTAGCACCTTTTCTTACGGACTCAGCGTCTTAAAAAAGAATTCAAATTAAGTTTTCTTTAGTCTGTTTTGTAAAAAGTAGTCACATATTTTAAGCTGGTGCTGACAGGAGTCCCAAAATATTGTCGTCTCGGACAGATCTCAATATCTGTGAGACCGATATTTTTGCTTGGCTAATTTAAATGGGCATAAAAAATGTCTGTGACCTGACGAAATTTCCAAAATATATTTGAAAGGTTATGAAGAGTGGTTTTCAATTATTTTTGCTACTCATAACCCAAGTTTAGAAAGGCTTTCAGTACTTTTTAACTTGTTTTCAGCGATAGTAGCAGCATTCTATATATATATATACATGTGTGTGTGTGTGTTGGTTATCATTCATTTAAACATCATAGACCAATATCGCTTACTGCTCCATTAAGTAAGTTGCTGCAGAATATATTGTATCGAAAAGGTTGTGCAGTTCTCTTAACCATTCAAGAGTGTTTTGTCAACTAAGAGGACTAGAGAATCACTATCTATTGTATCATCTTTTTAATGTTTCATGAGTAGAGGGGAAATCACTGCGATTTGTTTAGATCTCTCAAAGGCTTTCGGCTGCGTGCCTCTTGCTCAGCGTGCCCAAATATTGCCACCATTGATGGTAATTCTCTGGAATAATATAAATAAATTTTAAGAACTGTAAGCGTATGTTTGAGAGTTCGCCAGAAATTTGCTTCGTGGTTTCTTTTATTATTATGTTATATGAACTATATATAAGAAATGAGGTCAAGTGTTCCTGTTCGCTTGTCCACACATGACTGCTTGCGGTACTCATATGTGTCTTGCCATGAAGACCAGGTGCCGTCATTTTCCTTTTTTGAGTTAGTGCAGAAGCGGTAAAGGTAATTATTAAAATAAAATTAGCGCCGACATTACAGTGCTGTTTGTTTCCACCCACGGAAAGAAAAAAGTTACCCTATTAGTTTACGCCTCCGGTAAAAGGCGAGACAGCACAGCGCTCTGTACTGCCTCGCCTTTACTTAATCCGTGTGGCGTTGCGCTGTTTTACCCCTAATCATTTACGAACCTTCTAGCCGCAACAAAGCTTCCCGCTATTAATTTAAAGTATTGAAAAAGTTCGTTAATATAAATACCTCGGCTTCCCCATATCCGCTTGGCTAAACTGGAGCATACATATCAACAACCTTTGCTCCACTGCCAAGACGAAGTTGTTTTTTTAACATAACCATAGATACGCCCCCTCCCCCCCCCCCCCCACACACACACACCCGCTCAAGAAAAGTATTTGATGGCAATACGTTAGAACGATTAAACCTGAGGGCATGCCGCCGTCGTATAAAATCGTTTGAGTGTGTGCTGGGATAAAAAAACTTCTCAAATTATCGCAGAGTTAAATCAGTACGGAATATGCTTACACCGCAGAATATACTGTTTTTTTTTTCATCGCCGAAAAATACCGTGTTTAAGAATCACGCTTATGCCAAAAAATGTATGTTACATTTTTTTTTTAAATTCGTGTTACAGCTATAAACGGCTCGCCTACCAAGGCTTCTTAGAAATGGCCGTTAAAGCCAGAATCTAATAGATAAAATAAAGAGTTATAGTTATATTCATCTTAATTCTTCCTCAGATCTATTGCCGATTTGACGCTCTGACAACATAAATAATAGACAACGACGACATTAATGTTTTCGAAAAGCGTTCTTAGCAGGTGTACAGTAAACGTTAGCTAACCCTCCGATTACGATTAATTTCGCTTACTTGTGTTTCCGTTCGTCTTGTGAAACACTAAATTTTTTACCTGCATTTCCACGCAAGCGAGGGATGTGCATATTCCGTGTGTTACCCTGACGACGTGTGCTGACGTTGGTCTTCCGGTACTACAGTTGCTTGTTATTTGCTGCTTGTGAGGTGCGCTTGAATGTTACTGATTTTTGTTTTCTATCTATGTGCACATTAATTCAGTCCTGTAACTCCCTCAAAAATACCAACACCATAAACAAATTAATAAAAGGAAGGGTTTCGTGCCGTCTCAATTCCCACTTTACCATCAGATGAAAGCTCAGATCTTTGATGAAAACAACCCTACCGAAAATACCAGTATAAACTGGGAGATGGAACAGAATATATGACTGGATTTCTTGCGGAAAACGTGAAATCTATTTTGCAGACAATTTAGGGAAGCAATAGAGTAACCACTACTCGCCGATGGCAGATGTGATTAAGGCTGTAAGGTCAGGTAAATAGACAAATATACACAAACAGGCTGCAGCCAATAACCACTTGAAGTGTGAACATGTTAAACGAGTGACCCTACAACGTCTTAAGGTGTCAGCCTGAAGCAGGAAGAATCATGCGATTTCCAGCCTCAGATAGTTTTGTTCAATCTTTCCTTCAAAGTAAAATAACAAGGAATAATAAGCTGACTATATCTTTATGTGTTCAAACGGAAATCCGGATCGGAGAGCCAATTTAATTACTGTGCTAATCAACAATCAGCATCTTTTGATAAAATTATGAAGAATTTGATTGATTTTAAGATAAAACTTGAAAACATTGAATAGAAAAGCTTCCGCTTTTCTATTAAATGTTTGTTTTGTCTACAGGTTGGAAGCGGATCCTGAATTTCGCCTTCGAGTCAACCTGTCCCAATACTCCATTAGTATTCGAGTGTTCTCCCTCACACCGGGAAGAGTTCAGTGAATTGTGCAGCCCCAAAAAATTGAGTGCAGTGGCAAATAAAACTTACAGGACAACACTTAAGACCGCTTACGTGTAGGAATACGAAATCATTCGTATACGTAACGTATTCCTACAAGCTGCGCGTCCCGCTATCATCCGCAGAGTCCGGCCGGGCAGCCTCTGTGGATGCCCGCCGGCCCGGCTCTGAGAGCGGAGGGGTGCGGCGGCGCGTGGGCCGAGCGCTAAGAGTGCCCTCCTCTTTGGGGTGGCGTTTCTCGGAACTATACGGTGCGTCGTAGTCAATCCGTCTCGTCGCACCTTAAGAGCCGTTCCGCGGAGGGAATTTTTCCGCCATTTTCTCGCGGTTACAAACAACACCGGCTCCACTGCATGCGACAGCAAACCTATCGCATTGGAATGACGGCGACAAACCAATCTGATCTCGCGAGTGTGATGCAACGCCAGATATTGAGAGTAAAAGTGGCAGGCCGTGTTTGTGCCAACAAAACAATGCTTCCGATATGGTATTCTTTACATTATCAGTGCCAGAACCACTCTGCCAAAATAATATGCGGAAGCCCTTTAACTTTGCCCACCTTGCCGCTTCCAAAATGTTTGACGATTTCGAACCAGGCCTTTACAGCTCCTGGAACAGTTGCTTGAAGGCCTTTGCACTCTGGCTTCAGTTTTCCATCTTTCATCCCCGACAGAAAACGATCCCGAGTCAACAGAGCCGGACTTCTTCCACTTAACAAAGGAATAGAAAGAATGCAATACACGTTTAACAAATGTAAGCATTTTCTAGGGCTGAGCGTCGATTAAATATTTTAACCCGATTGATCGCCAACTTTTAATCCCATAATTTGTGTCGTTCATTTTTATCCATAATAGTTCGAAAAAGTGGAAATAAAATGTTTTGCCTTTGCTCAGTATGTGCTAAACGGCGCACTGAAACAATATTAGATTTTAAACCAAACTCCAAGTGTAGTTGAGGGCAGTCAAAAGTCACCCACACACAAAATTATAACCTCAGCCGTAGAAGCAGAGGAACGTTAATGTTCTCCGGCAATGGCGAATTCCCTTGATTGTTCCCAACAGTCCTCCTGCTCTAAACGGACACTCGCGAGGCTTTGAAGTGGCTGGCATACGTATAACCTTATCCACTTGTCTGGAGTAACAAACCTCACCTTTCCTCTTTTCTTTAGGTAAAAAGTTCTCCTAAAAGCTTGCCTTCATACAGGAGCATTCGTCCAGGTCTGCTGGGTGAAAGCATTGCATTTTTTTTTGTTTTTCTGTTAGTCAAAGTTTAACCTATTAACTGGTCAAACAATGACTCGCGATTATATCATTATTTGATTAATCGAATCGTTCATTGATTACGTGTCCAAACCTAACCTTTATATAGATAAATACCCAGAAATATTCTGCGCTAAAGCATAAATCTGGGAAGATTTGTAATTGTTTTTTTTTTTAACCTATATATTCAAATTATGGCGTTTTCGCGTTCAGGACACCAGCCATTAAGCCGTAGTTCTTAATCTTCAATATTGGCCAATCTCGCGAAAGCTTGGCTAATGAACAAAAACAAAGTCTTGTAACGGTTTTAGATAAAACCTGCGGTGAAACTCTTGATAATCAATGGTCCTTAGCACAAGCTACAAGACGTAGCGCAATAAGTCTAATGAAAACAATGGCGTAATCCCAAATATTAAAATCGGGTTCTTGTGGCTTACCACATATATGAACTACGTGGCTAAAGATATTAATTCCTCCATATTCCTCACCTTGCACGCTACCGGTAAATGGGAATATAAAATTGCTTAGCGCATTAGCAGTAAAAACTTTGCAACTCCGTTCGATTGAATTTGAGTCACTTCGTTGGCTCGCACCACGTGACAGGAAGAGTAAAATATCACTCTTGAGAGAGGTGTGTAGCCTGAGGTTGCATTACTACTAATTCAAAAATGTAAGCATTTTCTAAGCACTTTTTTTTTGGAGTGGTTAGGATTGTTTTTTTCTGCTTGGTTGAGCTTCTAGGGCACGACTCAGTGCGCTTAAAAATTATGTTTCAGATTTTAGACCAATCAAATGGCTCTCCGAAAGGTTCTGCTCTGATTTTTTTTTTTTATTTTCTTAAGCTGAAGCGCAGCAAAATAGGCTTTTGGACATTATGCAGTAAATATTTCATCGCTCTTGAGAAACCTTAATGTTTTAGAAACCACCCACCAGCAGCTAAAACTCATTGAATATGAAATTCGACTGCAGCTTGTGTTTCGTTTAAATACCAGACTAACTCCCGTGTAGACAACGAAACCTAGTGTTTACACTACCTTAGAAGGTACGTCTGTAGAAAATGCATGTAGCTCTAAATTGTTAGTCTGGTTCGGTTCAACGTTTTCTGGGATTTGTTTGAGGTAAAGAGTAATCGCGGTTTTAACATATCATTCGCAATGTTTTTGTTTTTTTTGTGTGTGTTTTTTTGTGGTGGGACGAATATTGCCTTTTTTATTGCTGTTAAATTATTTAAATCACTTAATTTCTACATTCGTTTTCTTTTATATACATGATTTCTTTTTGCATTGGTTTTTTCTTCGTGTAATTCAGGTTTTTTTTTTGCTCTGATCGATAGTTACACTGACTGTACGTATCAAGTAATGCCCTAAATTGGGCATTTGAGATACCGTGAATAAATGAAGAAATAAATTAATTTTATGAACAGGTTATTTTGTTTTTTGTTGTTTGTGCTGGTGTGGCTGTTTTATGTTGAGTTTATTTTGGGTGTCTTCAAACGAGCTAAGTCTGTTTTTGCTTTTGATTCCTTGGATGTTGCAGGCCGTTCGCCGTCTGCCGAATTGGAAGGCTGCAGACACCTCTTCCTTTCAGAAGTTTTTCCCCTGCAGCCTGCGGCAGTGTCTGATCTAAACAAAATGATTAATTTATCGCATAACCTATTAGTTGATGGCTCTAAAATTTAAATAACCATTCTTGCCAGTGCCGTGCACAGATGGCACATGTAGTAAACCACAACCGAACACATTTATGTCTCCTCAGGCGAGCTTATTTTTATCACCTTTAAAACGAACCTTTCACTGAACCTGGTTAAAAATATCGTCATTGATTATGTCTTAGGAGCGGCTAAGTAGGAAAGAACGAACGTAAAAAAACAAAAATATGATAAAATGCGAAATTAAAGGGACGCCTTCAGTGTGATGTTGTCGGTGTCACGTGACCTCATCACGTGGACCGCGTAACGGGAAGCAACGTTCGCCTGCAAGTATAGCATACCTACGTGGGATTTTTCATGAAAGATAGGCAACCACTTCAGTGTTTAATTTTACTAAAAAAATAGCAAATAATGTTAACAAACACATTACAGACATGTGCAATGCAGACCGGTGAAAAGCATTACTTCCCCAACCTTTTGGTGATCCTTTCATGTTTCTCCACAAGTTACATACATATTGCCTGCACTTGTGAGCTGCCGTTTATTGTAAAACCTTGAACACAGCTACAACATCTTTAGAACGCTTAAATACACCAGACCTTTACAACTTATAGCCTATAGATCGGTGTTATGGTTTTGTGGAAGGAAAAACGTGAAGGACGAAGTCACGGGTGCGAAAGAGGTGCGTGAAGAGCACGAGCCGCGACGTTCGGCAGCCGCTGCAAGGATCTGACCGGCTGTGTCCCGGTATCGACGACCTGAACCAGAACCCGCCGCTACGCACGGTGTGAAGGGAACAGCGGAGGCATGAGGATCTACGCCACCTCAACACCGTCCCTGGACTGAGCGGCTACAGAAGCCAGGAACCGAGCCTCGTCACCACATATGCCGGTGAATCTCCAGGACGATCCCAAGCAGCACGTTGTGAATGGGCCATCGCTGGCAAGTGTACTATGGCCAACCAGATTTTCGATGGCCCAAGCTTGGCCAAAGTGCTCGGCAATAGCAGTGTTTTCGTCCTCGTCTGGTGACTTGCCATTCACTTTAGGCCAGTCGCTGGCCATTCACTTAAGGCCAGTGACTGGCCATTCACTTTAGGCCAGTGACTGGTCATTCACCTTTGTCCAGTGGCTAGCCATTCACTTTAGGCCAGAGACTGGCCATTCACCTGTGGCCATGACTGGCCATTCATATTTGGGCAGTGACTGGCCATTCACTTTAGGCCAGTGACTTGCCATTCACCTAAGGCCAGTCACTTTCGGCCAGCCACTGGCCATTCACGTTTGGCCAGCCACTAGCCATTGAATTCCGGCCAGTCACTGGCCGAAAGTGGCTGTAGTTATACACTTAATACATAATTTATCACAGACCGCCAGAAAATTTGGGTGTTGCTCAGAAGACTGTCAAGAGTTTCGGGAGGTCAAGTTTGAGAACTCAACCCCAGAAACTTTTACATAGTAATGACACGCGAAGCTGATGCAAGGCTGCTCAATATTTATTGGACTTTTTGAGTACTAAGTTTTACGACGCTGGTTGCGACCACCATTCCAGTCGTCGTGGGTTCAGGGATGGTATGTTGTCCCACCATTAAGATCCCCCGGTAGTGCAGCAGTAAAAAAAAATAAAAAGAAGTAACTTTAGGTGAAGGGACAGTGCAACAATAGAGAGTTTTAGTACATCGTTCCGATACATCCGATAGCCCCGATAACGGTACTATGGATGCCGAAGGGGGGCGGTAGCGGCGTATCGGGTATCGTTATCGGAGTCATGGGAGCGATCTACTAAAACTCTCTACTGTTCGGTTACAATACTTTTCACTTTACACAAGCTTACTGGCACTAATGGGAAAGAGAAGCCTTGAGTACACAGTAAAAGTTTTTACACACTTAAGGGTGTAAATCAGTTTGTCCCTGGGCTAACACCCTTATGGCGTTCAGGCAAGCACCCTTCATGAAGGGTGCTTGCTAACACCCTTGGTAAAGGGTGCTTGGCATGAAGTGAGCACCTGCTGGGGTGGCCCAGTGGATGCTGGGCCACCCCAGCCAATCTGGCGCCGGGAGGGTGTCATGCGACGTTTTGGTTATGTGGGGTACAAGGTCACATGACGCTCTCTCGACGCTGGATTGGCTGGTAGCGTCCGCCGCGCTCGGACGAAGGGTGAAATGAAGTATAGACCCCAGTGAACATGTCATTGGAATTTGTCCAATACACATATCAGAACTTGTAAATTGTACAAAAATCATATATGGTATTGCATATTCTTATATTATTATTACGTGATTAAAGCTTATCATGTTTACTGAACACATTTACACTTTTTTCACTTAGAGGGATTGCCACATCACCACATATGAGGCATGTGATAAAGAAATATTGAGTCACATTAAACACAACTCACTTCATGAAGTAATACAAAAGAGCTCCTTGCAAGCCACATCATAACCCCGTAGGCAATTGGGAAGTGCTACGGCACCCCCCTTTCTCGAACTCTGAGTGAACAAGCAATGGCCCCAAGCATCGCACTGCATGGCTGAACCATTGTGAACATCATGGTCTGCCACAAACGAAGCATGTAAAGCTTTCCTGTTGGGAGATCAAGTGACATGTTTTGTTTGTCTCAGAGGATTGCAGGCAACCCACGCTTCGCTTATCACTTGTCTCCTATGCGCATCTGGCTCAACACACAAATCGCGCATTGTACCAAACGGTCTAAGAACACGGAAAGGAAGGACTCTCCTTATTCTCGGACCCTCGTTCGTGCAACGGGAAACAGTCATTCTCCCCCTAGAAGATTAGCCCGTCG